CCCCTCCCCCCCTCCCCTCCCGTCCTTCTCCCTCCCTCCTCCATCCCTCCCTTCTCCTCTTCCCCTCCCCAGGGGCGTGTTTTTACCCTTCATTCATCTTAACTAAGTACATTGTGGTTTTGCAGGAGAATTCAGAAAACATGGGATACTTGCATCCATTGAACAATTAATTTTTCTAAAATCCAAGCCGGAGAAACATGAAAGCATTAAGAAAAACCAAAAATTTTAAAACTTTAAATTAAAACTAAAAAACTTGCACCATGTAAGATATGTTCGTGTTTTAGATATAAAAAAAATTTTATTACTTTTTTCTTGTCGTCTTTTTAATCCCAAATTTGTGAATCCCCCTATAATGTTCACACTGTACAAATTATAGGATAGAAGGATGAAGGATGAAGAATGAAGGATGAAGAGGGTTCATAATATATTCTTCTACCCTATTCTTCCGATAATTCTTATAATATATATATCTGGACATCCCTCCCTTCCTTTTCTTCCTAACAACCCTTTCCCCTTCTCTAACTTCCTTGAATTCCGTTCCCCTTCCCTCTTATCCTAACAACCATCTCCCCTTTTCTACCTTCCTTGCGTTCCTTTCCCCTTCCTTTCCTGCCTAACAACACTTTCCCCTTCTCTACCTTCCTTGCATTCCGTTCCCCTTTCCCTCCCTTCCTAACAACCCTTTCACTCCCTTCCTGACAACACCTTTCCCCTTCCCTCCGTTCCTGACAAACTTTTTCCCCTTCCCTCCCTTTCTGACAACCTTTCCTCTTCACATCCTTCGTGACAACTTTTCCTTTTTCCTTCCCAGCCTTCCCCCCTTTCTGACCACCCTTTTTCCTTCCCTGCCTTCCTAACAACCGTTTCCCCACCCTTCCTTCTTGACAACCCCCTTCCTTCCCTTCCTCCCTGACAACCCTTCCCTATCTTCCCTAACTTTCTAACCTCCTTCCCTCCCTTCCCATTCCCTACCTTCCTTGCATTCCTTAGTGTAACCTTTTATCTTTTTCATCATGTTGAAATTTTATTCGTCTTTACTCTATAAATATCGAATCTGGATTTTTCAATCTTTTATTGTGCTGGAGAGGCAGGAGCCAACGGAGCCGGAGCTGACGGAGCCGGAGCTAACGGAGGTCTTCCACGTCGGGGAGGCTGCTGAGGAGTAACTGGATGATCTGAGAGCACAGGTTTAAGCCGATCCACGGAGACAGAGTCAGACTTGGAACCAATTTCAACGAGAAAGTACTTTGGATACTTGGAGAGGACTAGATATGGCCCTCTATATAACGGAGATAACGGAGGTTTTGATGCATCTTCTCTGATAAAAACATGGGAACAATTAGCTAAACTTGAAGGGATCTGGTCTGGTTTTGTGGTTGGAACTGCAGAGTGATGAGGTAGGACAGCGTGGCCGGTATAGAATATTAATCTGTTAGTAGGCAGGCCAAGATCTAAAACATTATTTTTTAGAATTCTGCCCCAGATCTTGTAAAATAACCAACAAATATATATATAACATTTTTTATCTCTTAATAGGTGTGCCCCGATATACACATTAATATCTTTATTTCTTGTAACTACGATGGAACTAAGGAGATTTTAAAAGCAAAATTTAAAAGGTAATATTGTTTTTCTAAGAAGAGCGCCTACGTTGACACACCAAAAGAATTAATGCAATCAGGCATATAAAATTAGAATTCATACCTACGGTTGTGACAATTTCTGAAATATCACTCAATTGTGCTTTCATCTATTCTCCAGTTATAGCTTTCACTTCATCAACAATCAGCTTGCGCTTCCTTAACATTAGATTAAACTATTTAGTTCTTCTCCTTAAAAATGAGTTTACACAACTTAATAAATAACATGCTTTTAGGGCGCTTCTCGCCCATCTCCTACTTAAATTGTGATATTTTTTTTATTTTTTTAATTTAAAAAATTGTTATAGTCGATTTTGGTAAAAAAAATTCTATAATCAATAAACCTTCCATGGGTTCACGTCAGGTACGACAAAAAATGTGTGTTTAATCGCTCCAGCACTTTTGACGTTATTGGATATAAACAAGCAGACAGACATACAGGGTGTCCCATAAAACATGACAGTAGGAAGACGACTTGAAGATCGTCTTTGATCTTATATGTCTTTAATTCATAAACAAAATATTAAATTAAAATTCTTTAGTTAGCAGTCACAAAATACCCATTTTCTTAAAATTGCCAAATTGTCGTCTGCGTTTTTGAGCTTTCAATATTACTGGAGATATGATAAATTTTCTTAATATCTCGACAATTTTGGTGTGTATTTAATAAAATTGAAATCTGAACGAAATCCATATTATCTCCGATAATATTCACAGCACAAAAAAAAACATTTCGGAAATCCCCTGACCAGGAAAATGTTGTGGTTATTGTTTGTAATATCATATATGTCAAAGTTTGTTGACAACTGAATGTCACAAAGGAATTTAAATTTAATAACGACTTCCAAATCGGCTTGCTCTTGTCATGCTTCGTGGGACATCCTGCACAAACAAAGTATATATATAGATTACATTTTTAATACAAGTAAACAGTCAACAATTGGCAATCAACCACAAAAAAGGAAACCATCAATTTCACTAATCCAGAAATGGGGTACCGAGCCCGTTTGTCTCTACAAAGTTGATCGTTTTCTTTACTCATTTAAATCATGAAATGTCCGAACTGAACTTTTTAATTTACTGATTTTAAATTATATGCACTCGTTATTTTCAAACATATACCTAATGGTATCGTGTGAAGAAGAGGGCGATGCAGGTCTGGCAGAGTGTTTATCTTTCATGTGTCTGCAATGAATTATAAAAAATATGTTCTGTTTGTTTAATTTTGTGTATAAAATGTCAAAGAAGATGAAATGTTAAACTTTTCAGTAAAAATTGAAAAATAAAAATAAAAAATTTCATTTATGTTTCAATTGTCAAAATGCGATTGAAACTGATAGCTTCCTTGGATAATGATGGAACAGTTAGAATTGTGTGAAATCTTAATAAAACACCAAATTCTTTAGTATTAATAACAATGGTGGTCGTATTACAAGCAAAACAATGAGCCTTATTATTATACATTAAACAATGCGGTCGTTGTATACATACTACCTAGGGCATGTATATAGTTACGGATAAACATTCCGATAAATTACAACCTAAGATATTTTGCTCACTAGGTGCCACTAAGAGATGTCCAAACCATATATTTTTGCCTCTGTATAAAAGAAATTACCTTTTTAAGTATATTTCAGCACTGTAATTTAAGTTGCATACAATGCAACTTACGACCGGGGGAACAGGCTGGTAGTCCTCTCTAAATAAAATTTGTTTATTTAGTTATTGTCCACTGTTTTAAGAAATCAACGTATATTGTCTTGAAAAATACATTTTTGTAATAAAATAATTAAGTTATGTATCACCACTAATATTATACAGTATGTTATAATGAAATAACAAATATTTTTATCATTATCAATAAAATAACACTTGTGTATTCCTTAAATTTGCAGCTCATTGATTTTAACTTTTAAATCAAAAATTAACTTGTAGCATAAATTAGAGACGTTTACATCCTATTGTCATTACATATATGTATATGAAAGACTACGATTATAATAAAAAAAATTTAAATATTATATTTAGTTTTGGGGTTCTGTAAGGGAAATTATATAATTCAATGAACTAACTTTGTTAATAGCTTCCTGGCTCTAGCATTCTTGAGCCCCGTGGCAGTTTAAAATTCAGATGATGTTTCGTGGCTGAAATAGGAAAGTAACTTTATAGTGTTTAATGTTACATTTTTGGTTTTGCCTTCTTCATTCCGTCTTTAGTCAACTTAAGTTGATGTTTAAGTGCTAAAATAGGAATATGAAGTTGCTAATTCTCATTTTATCAATAACTGGCGTATACACCTGGCTCTCATTGTGGATCTAAATTAAACCTCTCACATTAAACAATTTTTGAACACAAACAAAATTTGTATAAAATACAACTGATCAACTCAGAAACAAATGCAATCAGAAATGTAAACTTTACCGAAAACGAAATAAAACATTTGATATGTTCGACACCGTTCTACAAGCAAAATTTGATGATTATGTTGCAACAGGTTCATTATTTATGATCTGCCCAGGGGCGTATTAGGGGGTGGGGGGCTTAGACCCACTCTCCCGGAGCAGGGAATAGATTTCAGGAGGTTTGCATGCCTAAACGGTTACTGAGCCCCCCTGGAAAGAAAAAAATAATTTTAGCCTTCCCCCTGTGCAAATTCCTGAATACGCACCTGGATCTGCCATACAAGCAACGTACTCAAATGACAAAGAAAAACAATTTAGTATAAATTTAATGAATGTTAATTATTTTCAACTTTATTACAGATTAACGATAAACAGTTAACTGTATCTCTGTGTTTTGATGAAACATTTCTATGCTGTACATCAAAACATATCTTAGTGTGACTATTTTAAAGGAGAGCCGTTGTGTGACTTTTAATATGAAACTTATGAAGAAATAAGAAATTGACAAATAAATTACATAATTTCTTGTTTCATGAGAAATTCAATCATAAATTGCATTATTTCTAAGTTAACTTTTAGAAACATTGACTATCAACTACTTACACATATGCCGGCCTAACGATGTCACACCAAGCAGATCTCCACACAAAAAGCACTGCTTTTTAGGTTTCATTTTTTCTGAAATTAAATGTAATGTATAGTTGACAGGTATACAGGAGAAATGTCTGCAGACTTTTAATTTCAGTCAATGAACGGCTATCTCCAGGGTTTCAGTTCTGTCCCTGAAATAAAGCAATTAATATCATATAATTTTTTGTCAAAAACAGTAACAGTACACATAGGAACTGAGTTTTTGCAACAAAGTATTAATATTCAATCTATATATATTTTAGATTCAATGTCAAACACCTTAAATATAACAAACTATGAATTCTGTTATATCAAATTATAAAAAATTAAAATACCTTCATAGGTTTCCACCATCAGATTACACAAATATAGGGATATAAAACTTTGGGGTTTGTTGAAAAGACTCATTTCCTTCATAAGTTTTTGTGTTAATATTCAAACTATTATGAGAAGAACTTAAATTAATTTTTTATTATTTTAACAAAAGCTTTAATAAAAATTGTTTACATTATTATTTTACAGGTAAGAGAATTTTAATCTATGTAGCATTGGTTGTCATTCATTTAATTTTGATCCGGATCCGGATCCTGGATCCAGGTTATTTATTTGAAATGTACTTAATTTATTTAACAAAAACAATATTAAAAATTTGTTTTCTTATTATTTGTGCCTTATTTTATGTAAAAGTTGATGAACCATTAAGATATGGATCCAGGAAGCGAAAATATTGGGGATCCAACAGATCCCGATCATAATCACTGCAAAAGTGCCAAAATAGAACTCACATTTCTGTAAAACTTTATATCCTTTCGAACATTCGCGAGCCTCTGATAATCTTCATCCTCAAAATCTACCTTGTTTCCTAGCATTACAACACTCCTAGTTAAAAAAATATTGAGATAAGTAACTTGAATATTTATATATATTCAAAGTTTGATTAAATACATGCAAGCTATACTTAAGAAATGGACGTTCAAAACAATGACGGAATTAATAATTTACCTTAAAATCAATGAACAGTGTTAAAGCATAAAATTTAACTGTAACACAAAACACAATAAGCTTAGTAATTAAACAAAGATACAAGTTTAAGCTGGTATAGAATCATCATTGCATTCTTATTTTCTTGGTGGTAATTAACATGCGATGTATTAAATATTGTTTGGATGACAGAACTTGATAAATATTTATAGAAACATACCCTCTTGGCAGGACATCAGGGAAAAACCAGCAGTTGTTGCAGACATATTTCCCCTAAAAAAAAATAAAATAATATATACTTTTTTATTTAATATAAAAAATGTAAAAAAATAATGTTATTTTTGACTAACTTTAATAATATCATATTTAGTGATGTACATTTTACATTTGTAAGTAGGATATTGCATGAACCATAATAATAATGATCACTGCAAACCAACATGTGCACGCTCATGCATGTCTCACGCTGAAATCGATCAGAGTTTTGCCAATAACTCCTTAAAATTAGAGTTAAATTTATGAAATGTATATGGCTTAAAAAAAATTAAATTTGTTAATGTAAAACTAAATGCCAAGGTGATGTTAAGTAAACAATACTAATCTCTAACATGAACATTAATTATCTCAAGCTTGAACCATCTTTACCTTCAACCATTTTTATCTGTAACCTGACCTGTACTCATCGCTAACCGTACTTATCTATAACATTAACCATACGCATTTGTAACCTGAACCATAATTATGCTTTCCTGAGCACTGATCATGTGTAACATCAACCATACTGATCTCTACAAGCAGCCCTACTCATCCTTACGTTGGAAACCTAATAATGTGTATTCTAGAGCATAATCATGAGCCGTTCTCATTTATAAAGTTAACCCTATATGTGTTCAAATTTAACCTACTTACTGTGAGCTTAACAATACACGATCATCCAATGTTCCTTTATTAATATTTAAGTATCGAAAATGTTATGTTTAAATAAATTGTTATTTTTTGATTGGCAAAATATTGAGTTATTTAACGAAAACATTTTCTTAAAGAGCATATTTACCTTCCGGTTGTTGGAAGATAACAAAATGCCCCTGCGAGGTATCATCCTGTCGCATATTCTGCAGGTTCTCTGTAAGAACAATTATTAACATACACATTATCATTGTTTACAGGCAGTCTAAAAAATGTGTAAATAAAACCTATAAAAATGTTCGGTAATTGGATAGGACTTTAATGATGCATACAATCATGACGAGGTATTTGAAAAATAATGCTGTATTATATATTACTAGCCTTAGAGGGCGCTTCGCGCCCATCTTCTAAATTAATTGTGAACATGTTCTTTTTGTGTACATCGTAAAACAAAACAAAAATAATTCGCGGATTTTCACAAAAAAATTTCGCGGATTTTAAAAATTTTTAAAAATTTTATGACGATCGAATTTTGATGGAGACAAATTTTTGAAATCTTGATTTTTTATTAACCTTCCCTGGGGTCCCTAGATGTCCCACCAAAAATTTGGGCCCGATCGGTTCAGCCGTTTTGACGTTTATTGAATACAAACAGACAAACAGACAGACAGACAAGCCAAATTTATATATAGATAACATTCATGAAATGAGAATTTTGTCCTATAATTAAAATGATTTGTGATAAAGGAATTTCGTTGTTGCTGCACAGTGCACACGCAAAAACTTTCCAAATTCTAAATCGTTATTAAATGGTGTTAACTCTGAACATGACACTATTATATTCAAAAGAAGTTTTAGTTTAAATATAAAAGGTTTAATAAATAACGTTAAAGAGATGAAGTGTTTGAGAAATTTTGGTTTGTTGGTACAAATAAATGCCTTTGCAAGTTGCAACTCACCCCATTCCTCTCAGTTCTGGATAGACAAAACTCGTTAGCATCCGCTCTGAAAATTAAGGCTAATTATGATTTTAATAGTTATTGCTAACAAACAAATTATTAATAAATCAAAGTTTTTCATTCTTTTAATAAAATATCTGAAATATATAATATTGATGTATACAATGAAATGTTTTAATTCAAAGTTTGTGCCATTAGGAATTAAGTAGTTCACAGAAACTCCCATTTTCTAAAATTACATGTTTACAAGCAAATTGTTAAAATTTAGAACTTAAACTGTTTGTTCTTAAAGATGAAATATTTTGAAATATACAATGTTCAACAAAGTTGATTGCAAATATTATACGAATTATCTAAGGAATTGAGTCATTGTCAGCAACTATGATTTTCTATTCCATATATCTTTGCAACCAAATGTCGTTACCTTTTATATTTAAAACTATGAATATTGTCTGTTACATATAATAATATAAGTTTTAGCTTTACAACATTGGGTTCCAAAGATAGATGGATCAGAACATTACAATTTGTGGCAAAGACTAAATTCATTTATTTTATTGCAAAAACTTGCAATATTATTTCACTGTATTCATTTTAAGACACAAAAATTTAATAATGGAATACTTTATAATGGATCTTTTATGTACCTAAACTCGCCACGCTGTGTTTAAAACAACAAAGTTTTTGTACAATAATAGAAATATAACAAATAAAAGGTGTTTTTATCATCAGATATGATATATTTTTTTAGGATTAAAGGCAGCTCACTGAATTAATTGATATAGCATCCTCAATCAACCACATAATGTTAATGTGAATTTATTTTAGTATATAAATATGTAGAAGATTACCTGGCACCCAATCTTGGGAACACAACAGAGGGTGGGGACGTCGGCGATCTATCCCTCCAAGAGGGATTCCCCCTCTTTGGTGTTCCACAACAACCACCAGAAGCTGACGCTATCCAGGATGAACAACCAGGTGTGGGGGACTTGCTCCCTGTCCTCCTCAACGTAGAACCAGATTTCGGTGAATGAGGTTTAGGTGAGGGGCTCCTTGAATCTCTCCTCCGCTTCTAATCTAATTCTGAATGAAACAATTTTACATATCTTTAGACCTGTGGAGGTGAATTTTTTAGTGCATATTTGTTTCAAGAGTGTCAAGAGAATGTTCAAAAGCTATTAATGAAGTTAACATTGATATACTGTCAAAAAAATGCATTTCTTCACAAAAAACGCGCGCACACGCTTAATTTTGCCCTAAGACAATTCAAAGTTATGTTTAAACACTGTTTAAATTATAAAAGACAAACTCTGTTACTTTCAATATTTGATNACAAAATTGATTAAAGGGGAAAATTTCAAGTGAATGATAATAATGATAACGGAACTAATTATGAGGATTATTCAAAAAACTTAATTATTATTTCATCTTGTAGTTTTTGCAAACCCAATAATTTCAGAAACATATATAATTAAGAAATAATTTTTCAACAATTAGTAAATTATGATTAGGGAAAAATTAATGTAATGTCATAGTTTTTGTTCACACCGCAACATTTTAACAAAATTTCATATCTTTTTTAAAATTGACAAATGATTTATGTCCATTTAAACTAGCTGTGTATATTATTGTGTTGACAAAAATTTAAGATGCTTTATGTGTTTAACGCGAATAAAATAATGCAGTAAAGAGTCAAAGGGGAAACGTTAATGTTTCATAATATTGAAAAACAAAAAAGTCTGAAAGTGTTACAATAAGTTTATCCAAAAGGGCATTAATAAGTTCAAAGAATTATAATGGCTAAATGACGTTTTTATTTGTGAAGACTAAATTAAGAAATTTCATCAACATGAAAATTACGTTTGTAATGCACCAATCCCAAATTAATTACAACTCCTGCAAAATTCATAAACTTTGTGCTTAAGGTTCATGATACTTAAGACAAAGCGAATTTTTAGTTTATAATTAAAAACTTAAGGAACCCAATTTCATTCCATTTAATAGTTACACTGATCTTAACTTGATTTATTTCTAAATATTCAATGAAAAAATATTTAGATACCTTCAAATCCTGTATTCTTCCCTGCCATGTTGTTTACTTAATCTGAAAAAAGTAATTATTCAATCCAACACATGTATAGTTATATCACTTATTCAGGTTTAGTTTTATCATTCCGTCAGGTTTAGTTTTATCACTCCGCCAGGTTTAGTACATGACTTTTTGAGTTTCTGAACGCTCTCATGGCTGAGCGACTGCCAGCAATCTGGTATAAATCAAGCATTGATTCATCCCAAGATTCCTTCTTCCTCTTCTTATTCTTCTCTGCAAGGTTCTTGTTCTGACCCTTCTTCCTTTTCTTTTCCTTCTGTCCTTCTCTGTCAACCTCTGGATCATTTTCTTCATCATTCTTTTTATCCTTCTCTTAATTCAGTTGTGCATCGATGTCTTCATCATTCTTTTTATCGTTTTCTTCATCCTTCTCTGCATCATTCTCTTCATCATTCTTTTCATAAATCTCTTCATCCTTCTCTGCATACATGTCTTCATCCTTCTCTGCATAAATGTCTTCATCATATATTCCATCATTCTCTTCAGCCTTCTCTGCATCCTTCTCTTCATCTTTCTCTTTATCTAATTCTTCATTCCTTTCTTCATCCTTCTCTTCATCAGTTTCTGCATCCGTCTCTGCAGCCTTCTCTGCATCCTTCTCTGCATCATTCACTACATCTTTCTCTTGATCTAATTCTTCATCCTTCTCTTCATCAGTTTCTTCATTTTTGGCCAATAACTAAAATTTTCTAATCCGTATATATTTGCAACCTGATAGTGTAAACCTTTGATATTTAATACTTAGACTATTTGATTTAACAGAATTTACATTTAATGGCTACGACATTGGGTTTGAAGGATGTAGGGATTAAAGAATCAGAGTTTGTGGTAAATACTCAATTCCTTTAATATTTAACAATATTTTACATTACATTTTAATTATTAAAAATGAAAATTTGATTCAAATAAAATTAAAAAAGGCTCCATTTTCAATAAAAAATTATAATTATTTAAAGAAAAAAAATAGTTCTTTTAAAAAATTAGGTTTGAAATGTTAATTTTCCCTAATGTTCATTAGTATTAATTTTACTATTAAACGTTGTGGCTTTAAGAATGAATGGTAAAAACGTTTTTTAAGAGCTTGAATGATAAATAATAAGTTGCAATATACATTTATATATACATATTCCTAATACCTCTTTATCAACGCGGTCAGCTCATTTAAAGAAATTATAAAATTTAGCAAGTCAAAATTTAACACTTTAAAAGAGTTTTGAAGCATTGATTTTTATCTGAAAGCTAAGAGAATTATGTTACCGATTGGCGCATGTTTCAAGTTTTGACTTTTTTCCTTTTTAAAGTCAATTATCATAAAAAGATTATGTTTTAAACAGTCTTTGGTTGGTGATAGAACAGGATTACGCGAGGTAAAAATAGGGTTCTGCTAACTACCTGGGTTCGAACAGAATATTGCGAGGTTCATGGACGCATGGTCCCCCTCTCTCCATCCTTAAGGCTGTAGAATAAGAAAAATTTGTTTCGAAAAGCATGTATATACAAAGGAAATAAAAGGTAAAGATATATAGAATAGATGTAATCAAAACGTTCCTGAACTGCAATTTTCAATACCATCATTTAAAAATGTAATAAAAGGTTCGAGAAGTTTTAAATATCAAAGGTGTACACAATTTTGTTAGAAAGATATAGGGCTTAGAATATTTAAAATTGTGGCAAAAACTCAATTCCTTTGTGAACAAGAATTACTAACTTTGGGGAGGGGGGGGGGGCAGAATCTGGTCCCCCTCCCTATATCCAACCCCCAAAGACTCCTCCGATTCTCAGCAATAAACAATTACTCCACTTCTTATGATTTTAAATATTGTTTGAATTAGATGTTATTGCTTTAAAGAAATTTTTATCCAATGCTGAAATCTTTAATCTCCATCGGTTGATTAATCTGGATATTAATAAGAAGAGGAGAACAATCATTATTTAATATGTAGAGTAAGATAAAGAGGAGATCAAACATTGCTTTGGATATTTGCAATTTTATTTTTTATGGCTCTGAGCTTGTAACTTTATAATGTTGGATATTGTAATTAATGCTTGAAACATTTTTTTTCTTAACCAATATTTATTAATGCTTGTTCTCCTTTTGTTTTAAATTTCCAGTTAAATTAACAGAAGATGCTTTTTGATATCCAAAAGTTTTAAGTTCAGGTTTCATTAAAACCAATATCTAAGATTTGCAAAAGACTTAAGGCAAGTATTATTTTATTAAGTGCACGGGTTTTTATCAGGGAGAGCATGGTTGGATATTTGGAATAGAAGAGGGAACCGATAAGTTATCAAGGACGGAGGTTGAATATTAAGGAAAATTATGTGCACTGCAGGGTTTGTTAAAACATTAATGTATCATCTAGAAGTTTTTCATTTATAAAAAAAAGTTAAGGATATTCCTCATTTTTTGTTTCAATATACGTTATGGTACAGGGACTAGGTATTTAAACGATAGATGTCAATTAAATCATTGGTTTATTAGTTCTTAATTATATCTAACTTTGATAATAACCCATTAGTTTTATCAGTCCGGACTGAAATGAATACCTTAGTACATATAAAACATTTTTATGCCAGAATTGTTTATTTTTTATAAATTTAATATTCAAAAAAAAGTTATTAAACATACAGAGCGTCCCATATCATATCAGATTATCTCCAATCTTTAACACCAAAATAAACCCTTAATACTCGAAAAACTTATCATTTTCCGCAAGAAAATTCTTATATAATCCTTATATTATTTTTCAAAATGATTCATTCTAATTAAATTTTCTAATTAGTCCCGAAAATCGTAATTTAGACCCGTTCTCGGTCTAATATGATGTGGGACACCCTGTATTTACGTAATCACATTTTATGTCATTCGTAACGATAAAAAAATTTATACTTGAAGTGAAAAACTTAATCGAGTATTACACTATTTTAACATTTATAAAACCTTAACACTTTAATAATTAATATTTAGAACACGCTATCAACTTCTCATGAACTGAAGGTATATTCTCGATTTAAACGTTAAATTTGTTTCAACTAAACCTTCAAGATGAAATCATTTGGTTTTATATTATAATTAATTGAAAAAATATTTGTCAACTTTTAAACTTTGATACTCCCAATGAAAACAAAATTTTGAAGATTAATTAAAAAAGCTATAACACCAAATTCGTTGCATAGAAGTTACAAAAGAATTATAATTAACTCTTACCGAAAATTAAAATGAAAACATAAAAGAGAGTGCTACATTTAGTAATAAACGTAGCACTTTATTTTTTGTTTACGTTAAACTGAAGAAAATTGCAGGAAAGATTTATATTTTAAATAATTAGAGTTGTGACTTCATGACTTCAAGATTTCTTTAAGAAATAAAAACAAAATGATTTATACTTCTAAAATGTAACCGGATTAATTTGCTAACCCTAACATTTAAGCGCAAAATCAAAATTAGAGTCGCTACGTCGTCACAATGTTGCCTTGAACAAATATTGGACCTTCTCCTTGTGTTCGTTTTTGAGTGTGTTCCCTTGAGACTATCATAAACCACTAGTTGTAATATTTTTAAATTTGACGTAAAAAATACGATAAATGTCTGTTTTTTTTTGAGTTCATTGTTTGGTCGAGAGTAATCCAATCAAGAGGATAGGTTGATGGCTATAGAATAACCATAATATGCCCAGTGCATAGCTTGTTGATTGCTTCCAGTACATTTTAACGGCAGTTTAGCTTTCAATTAATTCATTATTTTAGTTATCTAAACAAATACAGAAAAGACATGCAAACACAAGTGGTTACTTAGCTCGTTACTCATAGTTTATGATATAAATGCAATAACCACAAACAAAAATATATGTCTTCCAAACACAAATGATAGACTAAACATAAATAAATTTCATGGTGGCTAATCAAATTATGATGGAAAATAACCAAAATCATACTGCAAAGTACAGTTAACATTTTTTCAAAATAATTTTAACTCTTTCAAAACCTTAACAATTAATAATGTAAAAGCAACATAATTCATACATTGTAACAACAATACTTCTCCTTGGATAGAAAATAATAATTTTAACATTGATTGTCGGTGACAGGTGTCCCGATGCTCTAGCACCCTAATATTTCAAGCGATCCGGCTGGCAAAGCACATTTTTTTAATATTACAGAGCCAGTGAATCTGGTCCTAGAATCTT